GTTCTTTTTCAAACATAAAATGAATCAAGCCCGCTATATAGATCATAAATATGATAAAATTATGTTTTATGGATCCTGCAATAGTGAAATCAGGTTCCCCACAATCTACTTCTGATGTTGCAATTATATTTCCAAATTTAGTAAATGATAGTGAATTACAAGGCCTGGACACAAAATGACGTCTGTTGCGAAATTTTGAAGAAATTTAAAAAAATTCTGAAAATATTTTAGAGTTTTGGAGCCAAGTACAAATATTGAAATATGGAGCTGATACATTCGTGTTTCCAATTTTATTTGTAACCTGCTTATTCTACCTCACTTATCAGCCAAGTTTAACGGATATTTTCACAGGTTAATCTCATGATACAATGAATACATTCATGTATTCATTGTATCGTGGGTTAATCTAATGAAAACTAAGTTGAGAAATAAGCCAAAAACGAGTTCAATTTCATATTTACTTCTTTACTGACTCATGTTTATTTTAGTATTCCTGTAAGTTTAAACATTTAAAAAAACGCGCGATTTTATAGAGCCTTTAATAATGAAAGAAAAATAAGTACCGATTTTTTACCGAAAAGTCTCGAGCTTATCTACCGAAACTCGATTTTCGGACCTGGCAACCCTGGTTCCAATGAATGTGCCGCCGTTCGTGTTAAATAACGCTGTTAAAGGGAAAGAATATAACCGCCATCCATTGCGGCTAGTTGCCAAAATGATATGACATAACGATTTTTCTTCTAGGAAAAGACATATTAACGGTGAAAACCGTTCTTGACTGTTGAGAAAATCAACCAATAAGGTATCACAAAATTACTGGCGATTTTACTATATAAAAGCGATGTCCATAATCTTGCAATTAAAGCAGTATAGAGATCTTAGATACTGGGATATTCTAGAAGGTGGCCAATTTCTTCTTGCAATCTAAAAACGACCGGCTTTGTTCAACGAAAGCGTATATAAAAAGACGTTTCGTCAAGTGCATCGAAATAATTTGTGCGAAGTAATTGTCTCCTTGGAAAACCATAATCAATTATTTCTAGAACATCAATATCATCTAATATCATTTCTTTTTCCAACTCCATTTTCCAAGTAGTTAACACACGAACCGACTAGAATTTGCTAGAACGAAAACAAAACCTCGTCTTTATCCATAACAAAACCCTCAATTTCAAAGGTTATGTTATGTATTTAAACTAGTTTAAGAACTTAATCCTCGGAGGTTGGCGGATTAAAGTTAAACGCGTTTAAGGCCAAAACAGTGCATACCGTTTACGATTTTTAAACCGGTTTAAGACTTAATCGCGATTAAAGTCTGTCGGTGCATACGGGCATAAGTAAAATAACTTATTTTACTTTCTCTATGGTTAACGTATGCGTTTCCGACCCAGTTATCCATCAAACGTTAAAAATGAAAAAATATGGGATGCATAAAGTGAGATGCCCTTATACGAATAGTCTATTAGTTAGAGAGAGAGAGTTAACATCAAACCATCGAAGCCTCTAAAACATATGCACCGCCACCACATGTGC